CAGCTCTCACAGTCTATTGGCTGAGAGCAGCTGCCGCTCGCCGCCAAAGTCCCGCCCCTTTTGCCCCAGCCGCGTAGTTGGGTTGCAGCGCACCAGAGGGCAGTCTGAAGAGGTGAAAGGTCACGTTATGTAAGCGCTGGTGACAGGCGTGCGGGGGTCCAGCCGCGGAGTTAAAAGAGAGAGACAGCGGGAGACCGAAAGTCTGAGAACTCAAGGAGGTCAGGCCCCAAAGACATTCACATATTACAGACATTGCGCCATCTGTCACCGACGGCGACACCGACATCCGGGCACCGCTGTCCGTGTGGTGCGCCGGAGGGGGGGAGGGGGAGCGCGCGGCCAGGGGCTTTGTCTTTCCACTCGCGCTCCGCCCCCTTCTTAAAGGCGCCGTGCTCGGCCACGCCCGGGGATGCGCGGGTGGGACTGGCCGGCTGCGAGGGATTGGCGGGAAGCAACCTTCAGACTTTCTTCCAGCCTGAGCCCCGGCAGGGCGCAGCCTAAAGTTTACTTCTCTGGACGAGATTGTGGTTGAGAGCTGGATAGTATTTTCCACTTGCTTCTAGTGGGTTCGCCGGAAAGGATCATGTAGGAATTTCTTTGAAAAACAAATGTTAAGAGGATAAACGCGTCATCTTCAGTGCTCAGGAGACTGAGGCAGAAAGAACAGAGTTAGAGCCAGATGGGGCTGCATAGCAACACCCTGTCTTTTTTGGGGGGGGATGGGGGACGTTGTGGTTTAAGTGGCAGAGTGCTTGCCTAGCGATCACAAGGCCTTGAGTTCAAGCCCTATTACTACCAGAAAAACACTATCTTAAATATGTATGTATGTATATATGTAACCTTAATGCATTAAATAGTATCCACCAGCAACCTACCATATTCTAGCCTCTGTGCTGTTAGTTATGGAGGAGAAATAGGATGCGAGAGGTTTCCTCGGAAATAAAACAGACAGGCTGGGGAAAATCCAGGCCTAGATATAGTTCAGTGGAAAAGTGCTTCTTGCACACGTGCGACACTGGTTTGGGGGTTGGGGGGGATGGGAGAATACCTTCCCTTGTAACGAATGTTCTAGATCAGTGCCTCTGGTTACCTAGCAGGGAAGGAAGCAGATTTGCCCTCCCATTTCCCATTTTCCAGAGGACAGAGTGAAACCTCAGCAGACTTGACTGAGCACTGGAGTTGATTTAAGTAAGCCCTCTAAACCAGAAATGAAGAAAGAGCCTGGGAGACCAGAGAGCCCCAAGGGGAAGAGAATTGATTGTGGGGATTGAACTCACTAGTCACTGTCCCTGAGCTTTTTTGCTCAAGGCCAGTGCTCTACCACTTTGAGCCACAGCTTGACTTCTGGTTTTTAGATGGTTAATTGGAGATAACCACTTGAGCCACAGCTTGACTTCTGGTTTTTAGAAGGTTAATTGGAGATAAGGAGTATCGTAGACTTTCCTGCTTGGCCTTAGCTTCAAACCACTATCCTCAGGTTGAAGTCTCCTCCTGAGTAGCTAGGATTTCAGGTGTGAGCCCTGAGTGCCTGGCATCTGTGAGACTCTTACTTCCAATTAATGACCAGAAAGAAAGCTGGAAGTGGAACTGTGGCTCAAGTGGAAAAGCAGTAGCCTTGAGCACAAAAGTTCAGGGCCAGTACTTAGGCCCTGAGTTCAACCTTCCAGGACCAGCAAAAAAAAAAAAAAAAGAAGAGGAAGAAGAAGGGTTTTGAGACAGAAAGCCTAAGGCTCTCTTGAGAGAATTTACAAACTGGCAAATAACTTGTGGCCTTAACTTGGCTTTTTTTTTCTGTGGCCCAGGATGGCCACAGAAATTGCTAGCCTGAACTTCATACAACAGTTTAGAGGATGGTGAAGTGATACTCAATGAAGGGGGTGGGGGGGCTTCTCTTATGCCTTGATCATTTTCCTGCAGGTCCTCTGCAGGCTACATCTACTCCAGCCCTGATTCTGCTGTTTCCTGTTTGTTCTATGGGTTCCAACCCAACCTACCAGACTTTAGACTTCATTTATAGAAATTTAGTTCTTTCTTAAGTCTATCTGGTTTATTATTTTTTTTAATCTATCTTGTTTTTTGGTCAGTTGTGGGCTTGAACTCTGGGCTTGGACGCTTGCCCTGCGCTCTTCAGCTCAAGGCAAGCAGCCACAGTGCCATTTCCTGGTTTTTGTTTTTTTTTTTTGGGTCCAGTCGTGGGGCCTGAACTCTGGGCCTGGGTGCTGTCCCTCAGCTCTTCAGCTCACGGCTAACGCTCTACCACTTGAGCTACAGCGCCACTTCCGGCTTTTTTCTTTTTGCTTATGTGGTGCTGAGGAATCGAACCCAGGGCCTCAGGCATGCAAGGCAAGCACTCTACCACTGAGCCACCTTCCCAGCCCCCACTTCCGGTTTTCTAGTGGTTTATTGGAAATAAGAGTCTCACAGACTTACCTGCTCGGGCTGGCTTTGAGCTGTGATCCTCAGATCTCAGCCTCCTGAGTAGCTAGGATTGCAGGTGTGAGCCACCAGTGCCTGGCTTGGTTTAGTTTTTTGACATGTATCCCAGGCAACCAAGGTAGCCTCCTGCCTAAGACTCCCAAATGCTGTGATTATAGACATGTGCCACCACACCCAGCAAAACCTGGTTATTTTTTATATTTGCTTACCTATTAAACATTCAATAGCTTTGGCTCTTTCAACATTAAAATGAAATTAGAATATACTGGGTCTAAGCAACATTGCTTTGTCCTCATAGTCATCCTGGCTCCTTGTTGGGTGGTGGGGGCTTTTCACCCAGTTCTGGAAAAGCCTAGAGGTGAGACAAGCTATTCTTTGAACTGCAGGTGTGTCACATTGTTTGGCCCCAGGAAAAATCTGCTTCACAGACTAAGCGGAAGTATCATGCTGTTTAGCCCCAGGAAAGTTTTTCTTCAGAGAATGCTGGCCCCTGGTCAGTTCCCTAGACCTTTGCTTTGCTGACCTTGATTGTTCCTCTATAAAGTCTGCCTTTGTAGGGCTTGGGTCCCCATTCCAAGTTTTTGCCTTTCAAAACTGTGCCAGCTACTTTCTGCACTGTAGATCTTTAGGAGTCCACCTGCAGTAGCCAGCTTTCTATTTATTTTTATTTTCACTGCCAGTCTTGGGCTTGAACTCAGTCCCTGAGCTTCTTTTGCTCAAGGCTAGCACTCTACCACTTGAGCCATAGTGCCACTTCCAGCTTCTTCTGTTTATGTGGTACTGAGGAATTAAATCCAGGGCTTCATGTATGCTAGGCAAGCACTCTAACAATAAACCACATCCCCAGCCCCAGCTTTCTAATAAAGACTTACAATTCCATCTCTCAAAATGTGGCTTCTCTATATCTTGCTGATCAGATTCCTATATAACAAAAACCATCTTAGTTTATGTATAACATAGAATTTCAGTATCTGTACTGCACCAGTGCCCGACTCTTCTTTAAAAATGTTAACATAGGGGCTGGGAAGGTGGCTTAGTGGTAGAGTGCCTGCCTTGCATGCATGAGGCCCTGGGTTCAATTCCCCAGTACCACATAAGCAAAAAGAAAAAAGCGGGAAGTGGTGCTGTGGATCAAGTGGTAGAGCGCTAGCCTTGAGCTGAAGAGCTGAGGGACAGCACCCAGGCCCAGAGTTCAGGCCCCACGACCGGACCCCACCCCCAAAAAAGATGTTAACGTAGAGCCGGACACCAGTGGCTCATGCCTGTAATCCTAGCTACTCAGGAGGCTGAGATCTGAGGATCTTGGTTCAAAGCCAGCCCTGGCAGGAAAGTCCGTGAAACTCTTATCTCCAATAAACCACCAGAAAACGGGAAGTGGCGCTGTAGCTCAAGTGGTAGAGCCGCTGGCCTTGCCTTGAACTGAAGAGCTGAGGGACAGTGCTCAGGCCCAGAGTTCAAGCCCCACAACTGACCAAAAAAAAAAAAAAAAAGTTAACATAACTGGGCACTGGTGGCTCATGCCTGTAATCCTAGCTACTCAGAAGGCTGAAATCTAAGGATCATGGTTCAAAAACAGCCCAGGCAGGAAAGTCCATGAGACTCTTATTGCCAGTTAACCACCAGAAAACCGAAAGTGGCACTGTGGTTCAAGTGGTAGAGCGCAAGCCTCGAGCGGAAGAGCTCAGGGACAGTGCCCAAGCCCAGAGTTCAAGCCCCACAGAAGGCTGAGATCTGAGGATCATGGTTAAAAGCCAGCCAGAGCAGAAAAGACACCATTAGACTCTTATCTCCAATTTAACCACTCAAAAACCAGAAATGGCGCTGTGGCTCAAAGTAGTAGGGCACTAACCTTGAGCAAATAGCCCAGTGACACCACCCTGGGGCCTCAGTTCAAGCCCCACCCCCCAAAAAATATATATATATGTCAACAACAACAACAACAACAAAACCTTTTGCCGGCACAGTGGCTCATGCCTATAATCCTCTCAGGAAGCTGAGATCTGAAGATCAAGGTTCAAAGTCAGCCCAGGCAGGAAAGTCCTTAAGAATGTTATCTCACATTAATCACAGAAAAAGCTAAAAGTGGTGCCAGGACTCAAATGGTAGAGCACTAGCCTTGAGCAAAGAGCCCAGGGATGGGCTGGGAAAGGCAGCTCAGTGGTAGAGTGCTTGCCTTGCATGCATGAGGCCCTGGGTTTGATTCCTCAGCACCACAAAAGCAGAAAAAGCTGGCTCTGTGGTTCAAGTGGTAGAGCTCTAGCCTTAAGCTGAAGAGCTGAGGGACAGCGCTCAGGCCCAGAGTTCAGGCCCCACAACTGACCAAAAAAAAGAGCCCAGGGACATGCCCCATGCCCATAGTTCCAGCCCCAGGACTGGCATTGTTCTCTCAAAGTTCCCTCAGGTGTACAGGGATAAAGCAAAAGTTTCAAACAACTGCCATCAAGTGTACTCTCGGTAAACCAGACCAACACCAGGCTGGGCCTTCCCATCACTTCCCAAGACTGGGCCACCCACCAGCCCTGCCATCCCCACAGCCTCAGAATGAAGCACTCACACCAACAAGACATATTTCAAATAGTTTAATTTTAAAAATATTCTATTCAGTGCTAAAATAAGTCTTCGCTCGTTGTTGCCCATTTCCATTTTTCTTAAACTTTTTTGAAACAAAAAATAAAATCACCAAGTTCAATTAAACATGCAGATTTCAAAGAAAAGGAACTCTCTAGAAAGTGTGAGCTGAGGGAGTACTGTGAGGCAGGTACTGTGGTCAGAACCTCCTATCTGTCCATCTTGGGGTGGAGCACAGAGGGAGGTGGGTGGCTGGAATGAAATGCATGGTGTGGCCAGATGTAAGTGCATGTAAGTGCGTTTGTGTTTGTGTTGGGGGAGTCTGGCAGTTCTGGCAGGCACAGTCAGTCAGCAGCTAGCTGTCCCAGAGGCAGGGCTGCCTAGGCTTGGGCAGGAAGCCTGGGCACAGGAAATCCACATGAGCTTTGAACCTCCACCAAGGATGAGGGGCCTCCCCCTTACCTCCCTGGTCTCCACCAGTTCCTCAACAGCAGCAGGGCCTGGGCCCTGCTGGAAGTCTCCATTCACCTTCAAGTAACCTGGGGCGTGCTCTGCTCTAGAGGTGCCTTCCATCTCCTCTTCCAGGCAGAGGGGCCTCAGTCCCCAGGGGTGGAAGCCGAGTATGCTCCTTTGGAGGTGATAGATGAACCTTGGGGTGGCTGGTGCTCCAGCCTACTTGGGGTATGAAAAGGCCCTGGGGTTCCTCTTCTCAGGTGCCAGGGACAGGAAGATGATTGCTACAACCCCAAGCCCTCCCAGAAGGCTGCCTGTGTGGGCTCTGCACCACAGTGCTTGCCCAGCCCAGCAGCGGCACAGCTAGGGCCGGAATGCAATAAATAGAGGCGGGCAGGAGGTGTGGGGGCACGAGGTGCTAGCTCTCCGATGTGCTCTGCACCTCCCCAGGCTGCAGCATGTCTGGCTGGTCTACACAAAAGCGCTTCAGGGGTGGGGCTCCCGAGTCTTCTTCTTCCTCTGCCATCTAGGAGGAGCCAGAGCAGGAGTAGCAGACTGGTCAGTCTACCACCCCCAGGCTCCACCCGCACACTCATGACAGATGACCCTGAATTCACCAGTCACTTGGCCCTGCCTTCACCCGGGGCTGTGACTCCTTACCTGCATTTCCAGAGGGACTGGCTCTTCCTTTGTGAGGGTGGGGGGCTCATCCGCAACTTCCGAAGCAGGCAGGGAGGGCTCTGAAAAGCAGCAAGGTCAGCCTTAGTATAGGCCTTGGCAGGGGAAACTTTCCTGTAAGTGTCAAGGAAGACTATAGGAAAGGGGAGATTGTGTAACAGGAACACAGAGCCAGACTGGGACACAGATGCCTCTCAGAAGCAGGCTACATGCCATGGATGAGTGTTCCACTTGGAACTACCCCGCCCAGGCAAGAAAGTCTCTTGGAGACATCTCCAATTAACCAGCAGAAAACCAGAAGTAGAGCTGTGCTCAAAGTGGTAAAGCACTAGCCTTGAGCACATACACAGAAAAAAAGCCTGAAGCCTGGTGCTGGTGGCTCACACTTGTAATCCTAGCTACTCAGGAGGCTGAAAACTGAGGATCATGGTTCAAAGCCAGTCCAGGCAGCAAAGTCCATGAGACTCTTATCTGCAATAAACTATTCACAAAATGGGAAGTGGTGCTGTGGCTCAAGTGGTAGAGCGCTCGCCTTGAGCTGAGGAGCTGAGGGACAGCACCCCGGCCTAGAGTTCAAGCCCCATGACTGACCAAAAAATAAAAAAGCCTGAGCTATTACAAGCAGCTGGACCTGCTAGGCCAAGGCACGCTCTAACCACCCTTGTGCTCCAAAGACAAATGACTGGCCCTCCACAACTCACCCTCTAAGGTCTCCTGGCCCAGCGTGGGGGGCTGGGAGTCATCTGTGCGGAAGTCGGAGGTGTGGGCTGGGCTCAGGGACTCACTTGGCTGGGGGCTGGGGCTCGAGTTGGTACTGCTGTCCACCTTGAGCTGATAGGCGTCCGACACTGAGCTCTGGTTGCTGTTCTCATCTGTGGACCAAACACAGCGAAGTCAACGGAGGAGGAGCTGGGTGCCAAGGAGGACCCATACCTCATAGATGGCCATGGACATGAAGGGTATGTGATCATGGCTGGGGTGCTCTCAAAAAGGACAAGCCCTTTCGGGGCTCCTGTATACTGTGGATCACCTCCAGAGCCTATGGTGATCAAGATGTCCCATCTCACCACCCAAGTATTGTAAGTGCTGCAGTCAGCCAAAAAACTAATGTAAGGTCTGCTGAGATTTAACCACTTCATGACTGCCTACCCTTCCAGCTCCAGCCTGGCATTTTCATGTCCCATGGGAAAGGACAACTCCTCTGGCAATCCTGGTACCCGAAGGAGCCTGGTGATGTCTGCAGGTAGTCAGCTAAGGCCCTGAGGCCCCAAGAAGAGGGATTATGCAGGGGGCTATATCTGAAGGCTTAAAGTGAACAAAGCAGTCTCTCCTGCAGCCCCAGTCCAAGTCTTGCTGTCTCAGGCAGGCCTTTGATGATGGCCACCTAACAACTCCCAGTCTTGTGTCTCTAGCCTTTGTGCTGCTCCCAGTGGCTCCTACAGTCTTCAGGGCACATCTAACACCCCTTGCTCCCTCAGGCACACAGGATGCCTGCTTCAACGCTCAAGGTCCATCTACTTGGACCTCAGTGTGCTAAGCTTTCCTATGACCCCTGGCTACAGCAGCTAGACCCTATGTGCAGTGCTGCTTTGTGCCCAGTGGCCTCTGCAGCTTGTGCTGGTCTAACTGCCCTTCTCAGTCTCCCAGAAGACCAATGTACCATGCCTCAGAAGAGGCGCTGCCTCAACACCCTGATGCTTCTGTAGGTCCCCTGAGCACCACTGAGGTTCTTTCTGTTTGTTCTGTCAGTCATGGGGCTGGAACCTAGAGCCTGGGTGCTGTCCCTGAGCTCTTTTGCTCAAGGCTGGCACTCTACCACTGAGCCACAGCGCCACTTCCAGTTTTCTGGTGGTTAACTGGAGATAAGAGTCTCATGGATATTCCTGCCCAGGCTGGATTTGAACCATAACCCTCAGATCTCAGCCTCCTGAGTGGCTAGGATTATAGGTATGAGTCACCGCGGGGTGCCTAGTGAGGTTCTTATTTCACACTGTTTCTGGCCTCCTGTGGGCACCAGATGTCACAGATGGGCAAGCTGTTGGGCTGCTCATCCCTGCCCCTCCCTGAGGAAGGAAGGTCACAGGAGGGGCTCTGGCATTGCTAAATGAAGAAGACACCAAGACCACAGGCTGGAAAATGCAGCAGTGCAGTCCCCAGCAGTGACTGTCACTCCCCAAAGCAGCTAGAGCCCACCCTGAATTCTCCTTCCTCCATTACATCAATGGCAGGTGGGGGGGAGGGGAAGGGGAGGATCTACATCCATAAGAGAGATGGTAAGCCTGTAGCCCTCACTCCTACCAAGCCCCCTGTCACCCCCCTCTTTCTTGGTGCCCATACTGAGCTTGAACTTAGTCTGGCTACTCTCCCTTAGCTTTTTTGCTCAAAGCTGGCACTCTACCACTTGAAACACAGCTCCACTCGACTTTTTTTTTTTTGGTCGGGGGGAGGGTGTCAGATTCAGGGCTTCTACTCGGGGCATGGGTGCCGCCATGAGCTCTTTTTGCTCAAAGCTAGTGCTCTACCACTTTGAGCCACAGTGTCACTTCTGTTTTCTGTTGGTTTATTGGAGATAACAGTCTCATGGACTTTCCTGCCCTGGCTGGCTTTGAACCACAATCTTTAGATCTCAAACTCCTGAGTAGCTAGGATTACAAGTGTGAACCACCAGCAGCTGGCTTACTTCCAGCTTTTTGCTGGTTAGTTGGAACTGGAGTCTCATAGACATTTCTGTCCAATCTGGCTTTGAACCTTAATCTTCAGATTTCAGCCTTCTGATTAGGTAGGATTACAGGTATGAGCCCCAGGTATTCCCCCCCCCATGTTTATTATGAAGGGACTAAGGTATGTCCCTGTGGGCTCTGGCAAACCTTCCCTGGAACTGCCTTCAGCAGGAATGACAACAACCACAGTCTGGTTTGCACGAAGAGCAGGTAAAGGTAAATCTGGAAATGGAACTGAGGGCATCTCATACACTAACTGCCAAGTAGATGTGAAATACCCCAAGAGGTAATGTCACCGTAGCAGGATGACACAGGCAAGGCTGGCTTAGGGCAGAAGCCTGGGCTTTGGGTAGCTTTATGATCTAAGATAGGATCATATAATTGCCATCCACAAAAAGAAGAGGGCAGAGAGTAGAGTTCAGTGGCCAAAAACTGGCTTAGCCCGTGCTGGAATGCAATGCCTGAGTTCCATCCTAGCACCTCAAAAAGTAAAAAAGAAAAGAATTCTGAACCAGAACACCAGGCCTTCTGTGTGATGCATCACTACTATGTAAGTCATGTACCTTTCCATTCCTGGCTTCAGCTACACTGACTTGCATCCTCCCCGCCCCCCGCAAGGTAGACACAGATACAACTCACCCTGGAATTCAAGGAGGAGAGAGCGATTGGCAGAGGCTTCAGAGGGAAAGCCATTAGGTTCCCGGGTTGCTGAACTGTTGGATTTTGACTTTTCTTTCTAGAAAAGAAAAAAAAAAAAGGAATATGACAGTCAAGCAAGAGCCTCAGAAGAGGGAGGAGGGCTGAGAGTGCACAGGACAGGCAGAAAGGATGCATCCAGCAAGGACAGCAGCAAAGTGCAATGTGCCAGGAGGGGATTTTGCTTCTGAGCTCCCATGCTGCTCCTTAGTCCAACCAGCACTTCCTCGCTGAGTCTTCCCTGTGATAGGACTGGAAGCATGAGCATCCCGCTGGCACCCTGCTCTGCTGCAGCTGGACCAGAGGAGGCACCACATCACTTCAGACAACATGCTGCCAGATGGTACAGGGCCCTTCAGTGTCCTCATATCCCCTCCCTGAAGCAGGGTTCAGGGAAGATGTAATTGTGTGACCACAGTAGAAAGGGTAGGCAAGCATGAGTTTGCCACAGCCAGGGTGAAGAAATAACACATCCAAGCATTTGCAAATGAGCATTTACTCCAAGAGCCCAATGATTTCTGAGTTGTCTCAAGTCGGCCAGTGTGCTCTCGTGCGTGTGCTCTCTCTCTCTCTCCCTCTCCCTCTCTTTCTCTCCTCTCTCTCTTTCTCTCTTTGTCTCTCTCTCTCGTTGATTATAGGGCTTGAACTCTGGGCCTGGACACTGTCCTGAGCTCTTCAGCTCAAGTCAAACACTACCACTTGAGCCACAAGTGACTTCCAGTGTTCTGGTGGTTAATTGGAGATAAGAGTCTCACAGACTTTCCTGCTGGGCTGGCTTTGAACCATGATCCTCAGATCTCAGCCTCCTGAGTAGCTAGGATTACAGCCGTGAGCCACTGGTACCTAACCAGCTCTATCTTTTTGTACGTGTCTATTTATTGAGGGCATACTTACTATATGAGCCTGAACTCTGGGCCTGTGCACTGTCCTTCAGCTCTTCAGCTCAAGGCTAGTGCTCTACCACTTGAGCCACAGCGCCACTTCTGGCTTTTTCTGTTTATGTGGTGCTAAGGAATTGAACCCAGGGCCTCATGCATGCAAGGTAAGTACTATAACATTGAGCCACCTTCCCAGCTTAGATTTTTTTAAGCTCTGGCAACTATGTAAGCTTGCACTGGAGGTCTAAATCAGCCAGTGACCAGAAAAGCATTGGGCGTATAGTTGTAAGTATCCATGCAACTATACTGATAAACTTGTTGGGCAGCCTGGACTGTGCTAGATAGTGAAGCAGGAAGGGTGAAGAAGAGGGATGAGCTGGGCACTGGTTGTTCATGCCTGTAATCCTAGCTTCTCAGGAGGCTGATATCTGAGGATCATGGTTCAAAGCCAGCCCTGGCAGAAAAGTCTAAGTGGTACTCTTATCTCCAATTAACCACCAGAAAACCAGAAATGGCACTATGGCTCAAGTAGTAGAGCACTGGCCTTGAACTGAAGAGCTAAGGGACTGCACCCAGGCCCAGAGTTCAAGCCCCATGATGGACAAA